ACTCGTCGTGCTCGGCAGTGAGGTTGGCGGACGCTTCAACGGCGACGCGCACGGCCTGCTCCGGGACCTCGTTCGGGTGCGCGCGTGCAGAGCGCCGCCGGCACTGCGAGCTGCTGCAGCTTCAGGGTGGGCCCGACGATGGTGGAGCATACTTTCCGTCGCCGTACAGCAAGCGGTCACGAGCACAGCCCTCGGCAGGCCGTGGCCGCTACCGCCGCATGCAGCCCGCGCGACAGGCCCGCCCCTCGACCGCATCCTCGACCTGGCAGAGGCCGAAGGGCCGAGCCGCCTGCCATTGCGCCCAGCGCCGTAGCCGTATAGGTGTGCTAGGTCTAGACGCAGGACCCGCCGAGCAGGCACGCAGATGCACGAAGTAGGCAAGATAAAGGTGCGTGAGGAAAAAAAAAACTTGCCGAGGTGTCAGTTTAGGTCGTGAACCGCGTGTGTATTTGTTGCTGTACGCAGATGATCTGGTAGTGTTGGTTGAATCGGAGGCTGACCTGCAACGTGCGCTTGACGCACTTGGAGCTTGGGGAGCCCCTTGGCGTTTCTCGTTCGGAATTGGCCCAGAAAAGTTGAAGACAGCTGGTCTTGCTGTAGGTGTAGGTCTTGCGAATTTCGGTTCACCCTTCAGGACAGCAGCAGCGCTCGGGATGCGGTATCAAGGCAACGGAAAGCATCTCGAACGCGCGCATGTCAACAGCAGCGCTGGCACGCCTGACTGGAGCTCGGGGTTGTTTGCGGAACTTGTGCGCCTGGGCTTGTTGCAGGGCCAGTGCCGGTCGCGCATGAGCCCCCGCGCGCGGGAGTCCGTTTCGTTGGATGGAGCTGACCAGCGTCGTGTCGATCGCGATTTGCGCGCCTCCCCAAAGTGGGAGGTTGTTCGCAACGACCTCGATTCTCCGGCCGTCCGTGGCATGGGCGTCTAGCTTGAGCTCCCGCAAAGCATGGCGAGCGCTCCTGCTTCCCGGCAGATGAGGTGCCCTGCTCTATGTGTGAGGACTCCGACTTGTGCGCAAGGAAAGCGGCGGTCGCCAGGCTGTCGAGGCGTCCTCATGGCTTGGGCGTCAGCGGAAGTGCGAGCCCGAGCCTGCGCAGCAAGAGGTGAATTCTTCGCTAGGCACGACTAGGTCCGGTCCGGTGGGCAGTATACGGCGAGTGCACAACTGGCGCCATCGCCACTCTGGGATCGTCACTTGAGTGTCGTTTTCTCAGGCATCCAAGAAATTGTTGAAGAAGACCGACAGGTTGCTTACCAAGAGCGCCTGCAAATTCTACCAGTGCGTGGCTTGGGGAGAAGGCCACACACAAGCTTGTTCCGTTCCTATGTCACGTTGACGCATGGTGCAGCTTTCTTGGATGATGCGTCTGTGCGGCGCTTGAATAGACATGTGTGCGCCAGTTGGGGCGTCGCCTTCTCAACTGGCCATCACGCCCGCCCGGCGCAGCCGTTGTCGGTGAACTTGGTTGGGACACGTTCGCAGTGCAAGTCCTCCGAGTGCAAGCAATATCCTTCAAGACACGACGGGGGTGGCAACGGAGGTCGGCGGGCGCGGTTGCGCTGCTCCGCCGGCTTGCTCGCGCTCGCGCCCGGGATCGGAGGCCGCAGCAATTGCCGCGCTCACGCACCGCTGGAGACCGCGCGCAGCGCTCGCCGCCCTGCGCGCGCAGAGCCTGCTGGAGCTGCCAATTGGGTCCTGCGACGCCAGCGACGGTGCAGAGCTGCCGCTGGGAGAGCTCCTGGCGGAGCCGCCGTAAGCTGTCAGCTAGCTCCCAGACGGAAAAAAGTGCGCGAACAAAAAACAAGCTCCTTCCTCGGAGCTCGAATTTTTCCTGCTGTAAGGTCTGCAGGTGTGACATTGCCTGCCGAGTTCGGTTTAGGCCCGGGTAGTGACGTGTACATTTTGCATCGCTGGCGACATCGTTGCGTGCGCCCAGCTCTTGATGGAGTTGGCTTGCGCCTGCACCGGGCTGAGGCATCACAAGTTGCTTCGTTCGCCACTTTTGTCAATGTCATCCGGATTTCTTGCATCCGTGCATCTCGCCTGCCATTCTATATAGGTCGTGCGGGAATGAACAGTAACTAGGTCTGGTCACCATCCCTTTTTGGATCACCCAGGGGCCTCATCCATGCTCTTCGTACTTGCCGTCTGTTTCTGCACCTGAGGCGCACATGGTTAATACGCTTGCAGTCTCGTCGCTACGTGGATTTGCTGTCAGATGGCAGTCTCTTGCGGTTCATCTTTGCACCGGTTGGAGTGCCGAGGCCGCTATACCTTTGTCCGCTTGCTGGCACGGTGCCGTGCGCGGTCTGCGCCACCACTCTCGCGCGCTGCCGCCATCTCGGCTTTTACTCTCCGCTGGTCTGCGCTCCTCTCCTTCGCTGCCGCGCGTTCTTTCGCAGCCAGCCTGCTGCCCCTTAGCTGCACGGCCAATGTTGACGGGGATGTACCACCTCTGAGTGACATCCTCGCCGACTCGCCTTCCCAGCCGCCGATTGCCAGCCGCGTGGTGTGAAAGCGCTCTGCGCTTCTATGCTCTTTGCCTGCGCATGCTCATGCGCTTTTGGTTGCTGGCGTTTGCTAAGCACAACGATCCTTCCTTGAGGGTTTATATGACTCTGACGTAGTCGTCACCTGTACATTCCTTGTATTGTACATGCTTCTGCTGCTTTTTTGCAGCACTATGTGTTGATGTCTGCTGAGCCTGGCAGCGGTAGGCTAGGTCACAGAAAAACACTGGTTGGACAACGCGCCGCATGCCAGTCGCTTGCCCGCATGGTGATGTTCACGTTCCGCCGCGCCGAGCGACCCGGCTGCGCCGACACAGATCGGCACGGACAGCGACGCCGATACGCCGGGCGGCGAGATGGACTCCCGCGCGCAGGGTCTCATGCGTGCGACCGGCATGGCCCGCAAGTTCCGCACCTATCCCGAGCTCCAGCCAGCCCGCCGTTTGGTGGTGTTCGGCCTGGAGGTCGGCGGGCGCTCCGATCGTTAAGCGGTTGCGCTGTTCCGACGCTTGGTCGCGTGGGCGCGAGCCGCAGCAATCGCCACACTCAGGCGCCGCTGGACGGCATCCGCAGCGCTCGCCGCCTCACGCGCGCACCCGCAGCGCGTGCTGGAGCTGCCGAGGCGGCCCTGTGACGCCAGCGCCAGCGACGGTGGCTGGGAGAGCTTTTGGCGGAGCTGCCCTTTAGGCGTACTGTTAGGTACTGTGGTCAGGTAGCTCCGCCGACGGGCAGGCGGACCAGACGGAAAAAGGTTCGAAAACAAAATTGTCTCTCGATGGTCTGCCTTGCTTTCCTTCGCGGCCGCCCGCGCCTTTGCTGCCACCTTCTTCCGGCACTTCACGTCCGCCGTCGATGGCGACGCCCCGCTGCTGCTGAGTGACATTCTTGCCGATTCGTCCCTATAATGTGCAGGCTGCACTGGGACCGCCTCGTTGTGGACGCTCCAGGAAAGATGCCGTGAAGGCGCGCATGGCGGCGACTGCGAGGAGTGCTGCGCCTAGTAGTAGCGGCTGGGAGCGCTGATCGGCCCCGTATGCATTTTGCGAGTAGGTTGCGTTAGAACTGCCCGGCGCAACTCGCCTGAGCTCGCCATGCAGCGCACGTTCCGTGCGACCCGCGCGTCAGCAGCGGCACACTCGGGCGACTGCAGCATCCTCGAGTGGGAGGGCAATTGCCAGCGCGCCAGACGTGGCACGCGCAAACCGATGGTCGCCGAGAGGGTCGAGTAACCCGCGGCAGCGGCAATGCCGCCACTAATCGGCACGTTGCGCAGGTAGGCACCGACTCAGGCTCAAAGACGGATCCGGTAACAGCCGTGCAACAACAAAATTCCCGCTGTTGACAAAGAGTTGAGTCGAGAGCTGCCAACCTTGAACCGCAACAGTGTTGTAGTAAGCCCAGTACCGGGCTGGAAGACGCGAAGTAATTAGCCGACGGTGACATGTTCCGGCAAACGCAGAGAGCTGCGGCAAGAAAGCAATCATGTGGCGCGAATCCACGGCCTTCAATGTCGGACACACTGTTTTTTCCGAGCCTTTTTCCGCCTGGTCCGCCTGTGCGTCGGCAGAGCTACCTGACTACAGTGTACATGCTGATTGCCCCGACATGTCAAAGCACAGGACCAGTTCCCCGAGCAGTTCGTCATCACCACGTCGTCGACTCCATGTGCAGATGCGCGACGACCTCTTCCGCAGGTTGCGTCTGCTGGTGCGCATGACTATATGAGTTCTGCGGCATTTCGACATAGACTCGTGGCATGCGCTGGACCATGTGTGAGGCAAGTGAATCGGGGACTTGCGTATGTTGACCAAGCTGCCAAAGAGGCGAGGGATAGGCAACATCTATGCGGGCTGGAGCAAAACCACATAAACCCCAAGTCTTTAAGTGGCAACTGCAGCCAGGTGCACTTGCGCAACGAACATTTGTCTCGATGCTTGGACGAAGTCCAAGACGACATCACGCGGATTGCTCATCGAATGCAGGTGCTGGCAGTTTTTGCTGTGTGCTTCATGCGAACAACTGGCGCATAGTTTTGAAGTAGTGGGGAAGTCCGGGGATTGGTAGGAATTCGTGCCATCAATATTCAATATCGTTTTCGGATGTGAGAAAGATTCAGATAGTGGTTGTTTTGTTCGAGGTGGATGCCTGATCAAGTGTGCATGGTCGATTTCAGCTGTTCTTTCTTGAACCTGATAGACGATGTTGCATCCCTGTGGGGAGGCTGCACGGCGTGAGCGTGAACGTGGTCGTGCAGCGACCAGCGCTGCAGCATCGCGGTTGTTCACAGACAAGCCCGCCACATCGAAGCCGCTTGTTGCACATGGGATGTATGCTGCGCAGGGTAGTTTGTTTAGTCTGGTAATTTGTAAAAATCGTAAAATCGTCGCGTCGTCGAATCATGTCGAATCCAGAAGTTTTTGTGTGGTGATGTGTCAGGGCACCGGAGCCACTGTTTCGCGCTGCTGCCGCCAGCAGGCCAAGTTCGCAGCAGCAAGGGCTGCTGTCATGGTGCTGTGGTACTGTGTGTGCTTGGGCGTGTGTGTTCCAGGAAATATGATGCGACCCCACCGCGCGCAACCTCTGCTGGTATGAAGACACCGATCCGGAAGTCAGGGTCTGCAGGCGGGGCATGGTGCAGAAAGCTCCAGGGCCAGGCAAACTTGCAGTATTTCCACGCATGAGCCGCGCCAAACGAAACGGGGCACACAGCTTCTGCTGTCTGATGTCACACAGTGAGCTTCACCGTTCTCAACACGAGATTGGGTGGTGTCACCGGGCACATAGCATACAGAGCGTCCCTGAAGGTCCAGCACGGATTAGCTCCACATTTCTTGTAGCTTTGTCTTCCATGTAATGTTGACATCGCACATCACGTCCGCCAGGTGACAGTCCCAGATGTGCACGGGCGGCTCAGGAAGGCTTTCGTTTTGGAGGCAAATTGCTGGCGGAGTCGGAGTGGCCATTTTGGGCTGAAAGGTTTTTAGCCGACTGTGGTTGGCTTCGATGCCATGCTAGCTTAGGCTTGTCCAAACGGTGCTGAACTCGAAACCCCAAGTGCAAAACCTTAATTGCTTCGATGTGAAACTTCGTCACTGGTTTCCTTGCGTCCGTGACATGGAAGCACCAAGTTTTCGAAGGTCATCAACGTCATGCCGGGAACTGCAAAAGTCTAGCTGCCCGTTTTCCGCTTCAGAAGATCAATCCCTCACAGGTTGGCAGCCTCCAGCAAAGGCAGTGCAAGCAGACCGTGTGAGCAGACCTCATCAGGTCCTTCAGGACATTGAACACATGTCTGTACAGTAAACAGGGCACGAATGCGGTTGCAAAGGCTGTACCCGGTCTTGTTGCAGGACTCTGTCCGTGCACAGCTGTCATCGCTGAGACATGAGAGCAAAGCAGACCAGAAGGCAGCAGTCAAGAGGCTGCTGGTTCAATGGCATCCAGACAGAAATCTGGAGCCATGGATGCCCAAGTCGTTTCATGGCATGGGGTTCAAGTTCGAGAAAAAAAAACCGACATGGCATGGTGTGCGTGTGCATCGTGTGCATGTGCCAATGTGGCGCCTCAGATGCTCAGGAAAGCCAAGACACCGCGACTGCCATTTTCCAGTTCATACAGCAGGACTGAGGGCGAAGCTCGACAACCCTTCACGGCCCTCAATTCCCACCGAAACTGCCAGGAGAAAGATAAGATGTTGGGGCTCTAGTGGGTCATCTTCTGAGGCCGGGAGCCCGGAGCCTTGTTGCAAGAGGTCCTGGTGTTGCCTCGGCATTGTGAGGTGGGGAGCCGGCGGCCACGGAGAGAATCAATTTGTTATAGTTTCACGCAGGTACGCGAAATACAAGTGTTTAGTAGTTTAATGTGTTTTTCTTAATGCTTTACTGTGCAGTCCGCCTGACTTCTCAAAGGGAAAGATGGCGCGAAGACTGTCCGCCATGCAGGTTGATGGCTCACTGCTTGGGACAGCGTTTGGCTTGAGGGCCATTGGTTCGAATTCAGCGGAATCGGAGGCAAAATCATGGCAACGAGCAGTGCATTTGCTGCTCAACGGCACATTCCAGGTATAATAGGTTTCGCGAAGAGAAACAGAGAAACTCCATCCCTTCGTGCAAGCGAAGCATAGAGAGAAATCTGGGCACTAGTAAATGACCGATGGTGAACAGTGTGCAAAACCGGAGAAAACCCCAAGGTCGTTTTAAATGTTGTGCAGGGACTCCGCTTCGCAGTGTTGGTTTGGCTTTGTGGTCCATGGTCCTGATAAGGCCGACAAGGAACTCTAAGACCGAAGCATTGGTGGCTTGGCATGTGGGTGCATCGGGCTACTTGTGTTTCTGAACGGAACCCAGTGGCAACAGTGATCAATGGAGTCCAATAGAGTCTTGATGCGAAAGCCTCTAGATGCAAGCAATTGCAAGCAACATCTGCCAGGTTCACGTCTTGAAACACATGGCAAACTGATTTCCAGGTCCCAACGACTTCCACGGCATGTTTTCACTTAAAACATGGAGGAGCATAAGAAAAGCCTGCAGTAGTTGTACTTCGCTGCAGCTTTTGCTGGTTCAGGCTATCTGCTGCCAGCCAACAGTCACATGGAAGTAGTTAGTGTGCAGAAAGTGCGCACACACACACACACCAGGCACTTTGCCGCAGGATACTGAGTGTTTCTGGCTTCTGCTCTTGTGCCCTTACTTAAGAAAGCCTTGCTTGGTCATCGCACGTGCAGTGCACACGGTTGCCAATGTCGCCTCTCAGCAGGGCATGTTCATAGTCTAGCACGGATTAGCACAGCATATCATTGCGGATTAGTCTTGGCCAGCTGTTAAAGTGCAGACACGGCCCATGCGCGCAGGAACCGCCTGTAAGTCAGCTCCCGTCATGGGTGCACTTGAGCTCGTGTGGTCTTTAGCTCGCGCTTCACGGTGGTAGGATCATGCTGCTTACTTGCACTTCAAACGTTCGCATGTACTCTTCATGGCAGAGCGAGAGGGATAAAATGTAAACCAATGACTCTAATGCTGTGATCCTCGGAACCTGCGATGCTTTGCCGAATTATTGAAGACAGGCTGAAGGTTGGCTAGTTTGTAGGCATTTTGTTATCGGCTCGTGAGCTCTTGCTAGGAGCGCCAAATCCATGGGCACTCCAAGAGGCGATCCTCAAAGAGGCAGTCAGAAGGATAAGATGCAACATGAACCTCAGCCCGGCAGCTTCGGCTGGCAGGAGCGTCTCTTCGATGATCATCTAACGAAAATTCAGGCTGGTGAGGCACTGCCATGTGATGCTTCGTGGTCTTGAAGAATCAGTCTTGGCTTTTGGATCGCTTGCAGGATGTGCGGAGAACCGCCAGGATGAATCCCAAGGTCCCCCGAACACGTCATTCAGAAACATTGTGACGTGCAGCGCCCCGTTTGACTGAAGGAGCTGAAGTACATGCACAAAACAGCCTCCGTGCCATCATTTAGGAGCACGTTGCGCTCTCAGAAGCAGTCTCTCATCGATATCGAGAAAGTGCACCGTCCCCACCTCCCCCTAGGCTGACGGTCAGAGATCGAACCTTCCTGCGCGAATTCCATGAGAGGCCTCAAAAGGCTCATCGCTGAATCTTCTACTTGAGGGTTCGTTGGCGCACTCGCGCTTCGCGAGCATGGCCTGGGACAAATGTTTAAGCTTTGGCAGCGATTTGGCCGACAGGCTCAGCAGCTGGACGTTTACGCACCCTATGCCAGAGTCTTAGACCTGGTGCGCACCCAGCAACTGTCTCCCATGTCCGTACTGTTCAAAGGCCAAACATCAAGTGCACGCACAGTTCGGACACAGTGCAAACACGTAATTCCGATAAATGGCTGCCAGTTCGCACACAGTTCGAGCACATAATTTTGTCAGAGCTTCTGCCGTGGACGTGCGCAGCATGACCCACGATGCTCCGATCTTTAGTGGTGGGTTTATCGACCATACTTTCCGTAGCAAGCACAGCTGCAGCACACGTTTCTTAAAGAATCCAAGGCTCGACGGCAGTGTCCAGTCTTGTGAAATCGGTCTTTCTCGGCTTCACAGGATGAGACATGAACAATCCCGGGTGCACTATGTGAGCGGGAGCAGTGGACTTCATTCAGGTTTCCCGAAATGGGCAAGTGTGAGTTTTGAGCGGTTCTAACCCCGTACCTCTCAATCAGTGAAATCGTTGCGTCATTGTGCAGCGGCTGTGAAGATCGCAGCTTGCTGGTGACAATCACCATGCCGCCATGGACCATGCATCCCTGTGGTTTTGGGTCTTTTGCTTGATCGGTCGTGCAAGAACATGGAATTCGCACCTCTCCACAGAGCAGCTTTACTCCTTCCAGGACCTCTACACAGACGCCCAATACGGCCCGGACTTCGGCTATTATTCAACGGGACGTATCCTCCACGTGGATGGCCTCAATGATGCCGGGGTCGGAGGACAGGAATGGTTTAACTCGTACACGACTCTGCCGATGTCACTGAGTCCCCATTTCGGCCATGCCCTTTGCGATCGTCTTGTCGCCATGTGGGCTGCCATGGGCAGCCCCAAGCCATTTGTGGTGACCGAGTTCGGCGGAGGGACAGGCATGCTAGCCCGAGACGTTCTGCGGCGCGCGAGAGATGCCCACGGCGAGTTTTACGAGTCGATGGCCCGTTATATTATCGCGGAGCGCTCTCAGGCCATGCGCTCGGCGCAGACTGCTACTGCGGGAGAGTTCGTGCCAAGCAAGCTTACTGTGCTCGCTGCGGACGGCCGTCGGGCTGCCTCACTGCGAACTTCGCTGGAAGCTGAGATGGGCTCCCAAGGCACTCCCGGAGCTCCCGTCGTTGGAATCCTGCTCTCCAACGAGCTCCTGGACGAGTTTGACCCGGTGAGGCTGCGCTTGGTTTGGCGCCTGTCACGGCCACCCTCGAAGAGGCGCTGTGGTGAGTGCAGCGCATACCGGGAGGCTTATGTAGCACACACCATCGACACAGAAGCCCTCATCAAGCTGGCAGACTCTGACTCCGTCGAGGTGATACGGCATGAGGGGCAGCTGGCCTACTGTGGATTGCTCTCCACTGCTGCCATGCGCCGTGTGGTCCTTGCCGTGGCAGAGGACCTCACGGCAGAGGAGCGGTGGCAATGCGCGCCGATGCTCGTGTGCTGTTTTCCCTTCGTTTTGGCAATGAATTCTGCTCTCCAATATCACCACGAAGTGCTGTACCAAGCAGAGGTGGAGCATCGCGATGAACATGGCGAGCGTGACCTTGTGAAGCAGTACCGGTCCCTTTTGCGTTCGACCAATGACACAGTGCCACTGACGAAGGATCGCTACCGCCAGCTGCGCCGCATGGCCGCGCAACAAGGCTCCGAAGTGGAGAAAGCGCTGCTATTCGGCGTCGACACCAACAATACGGATCTCGATGCGTCGAACTTCCCGGGCCGCCTGCGGAGCCTAGAGATCTACTTGGCGCTGACACCGGAGCGCTGCCGTGAGCTGGCGCCCTGGCGGCGACGCCACGCCGCCCGCCTGGCGCACGCCGCACGCCTGCGTGACGTCTCAGCCCCAGCGTTTGGCACGGGCGGCCCAGGCCATACGGCAGCCCACCTGAAGCTTGTCCTGCGTCCAGGTGAGGCAGAGTTCGTGCGGGAGACCGCGCAGCTGCTGGACGAGGGCTTCCTCGTCACCCTAGACTATGGTGCCGATGCAGATGCTCTTCTCTGGTTCGCTGCCATCCGACCTCATTACGATGGGATCCACATCATGGATGCCAGGGCTGAGTTCCTTGATGTATGCACTCTCGTCTCTCACTTGGAATGCCCCGGACTCCAGGACCTCACGACATCTGTGGACTTTACCGAGGTGGCAATGGCAGGTGCTGAGTGGGGCTGGACGCAGAAGGCATATGGACCCATTTGGCTGCTAGAGCTTGCATTTGGCTACGGGCTTGGCCACTTGTTGGAACGAGCCGGAGGCCTCCAAAGCCCTTCCTTGCAGGCTTGGTACCTGACACCAGAGCAGGATCCCTGGGCTTCCTTCAAGATCCTCGTCCAACATCGTGGGCAGCGTGGAGCAGGCTGGAGCCTTGGGCCCTTGGCACAGCAGTGGCCGCTCAGCCCTGTGCCACGTCTACTGCGAGGCCCAAGCCCTTGCTGGAGCCGAGACATCACAAAACCCCCGCTAGCCAGTTTGGTAACGACTGCGACGCACCAAAAACTTGGCGACAAGGCATGGAAGATGTACGTAGCCGATGCTGAGCGGTCTTGGCAGACGGATTCCGAAGCAGTTGAAGACGAGAGCGTAGCCGATGCACTTTCCCAGCACTTTCTTGCCTTCCTGCTGCAGGAAAATATAGGCCCACTGGTGGACCAACAGGGCGAGGCGCAGCAGCAAGCTTATGCGGCCGCCCACCTGGCTGCCATGCTCGTCGACTACTGGCACCATCTCCAGCAGCTGCAGCCGGAGGGCGACAACTTGTCCGATTGGGCCCAACTGCAAGAGCAAGTTCGGAGCATGGCAGCAAACAGAATGCTGCCAACGCTGTACGGGGAAAGGAGGTTTGACGAGGTTTTCCGACGACTGACAGACTCTGTCTTCGCACTGAACGGATCTTCCAGCTGGGGCAACTCAGAAGCTTCTCCCCCGTACGTTTGTTTGGCCGAGAAGGCCTGGCAAGGCTAACGAATCTGCACAAGCGCAGGGCCCACGATGAACGGATTAGCTTGTTACAGGCCTGGAACAAAGAATTTCAGAAGCTGGATGCTGTTGAACTCGTGCGCCCAGGTTGCACCGTGTAGGCCTGGCCGTCCTGTGACAGGCTTTGAGCTTTGACACAGAAATCGCTGTGTCGTAGCTTGGCCGTGCCGGGCAGAAAAAGTCGAAGGGCAAGAGGTCAGCTGGAGTGAGCTGGGAGCCTGGGTGGAACTCGCGACCTCCTCAGTCGTGCGTTTGGCTGCAGATCTGACTGCTCAACTACAGTTGTGTTCTTTGAAGTGGAAGCAAGGGATTATTGGATGCTTGAGGCTGAGCTCTCCATCCCAGCTTGTAAGTGGGACGTGTTTAGTATTGATACTACGGAAAACTGCGCCGTTGGAAGGGGATCTTTGCTTGCCTTCTCCTCGTGAGAGCTACTGTAGGAGTCATCGATCGGTTTTTGCGTTCAGGCCGCCATTTTCGAAGAGCCCGTAGACACGGAGTATCGCAGGTCGCCGGGGGCTTCAGCCAGAATTCCAGCGGATTCGAGCATTCCTTCTGGCAGGGCCACAGAAGGCATCAGGAAATCAGGTTGACAGCTTGCCGAAAACCATTGCTTTCTTGACAGAAAGCTGGGCGCCGACACTGACGTCCGCTTAATCATGCCGGAGCAGGGCTTCCAGCATGTTAATGTTTCTGAGACCCCAGGCCCCGGTAAGCTTGTTTCATGGTTAAATCTTTGCTGATCAGTTGACCGATTTCATGCGTGATGCTCTCAACAGGAGTTTCACCCAAAGCTTGCTGATTAGGCACAGGTTTAGCCTGGTACGTGTTGACGTGACGACAACTCAAGCGACCTTGGATTTCCTGTTGCTACTAGTAGAGCACCCGCTTGAAGTTGCTGTGAGTAGAAGCAGGGGTGTTGGCTGCAGAAATGGGGAAAGTTCTGCAAAGTGGCCATGGATGGCCGGCAGGCCGCCTGCACGCAGCTGTCCCTTGGCGTGCATGAAGAATGCTGACCACGCCCAGTTACATGCGGGTCGGTGAACTGCCCCGAAACCTTTGCACGTGCAGGCTCCGGTCAGTGCAGAGATCGAAAGTGCAGGCGACCTTGTTTCAATACAATGCAGTGGGAGCCCAAGCTTGCAAGGTGCTCTTGCAGTCTGAATTTCAGTAGGATTTTCTAATCTTTGCTTTACGAGTATGCGACAATGTTAAGAATGAGTGATAAACAGATAGTTGTCCGCAAAACTGGCTTACCGGGTGACCAGCTACTTGTGTTTGATGCAGCCAACTAGTGAGTCATCTCTCTACCTAGATTCCTAGATGATAAACTAATTTGCTGATTGATTCATGAACTCATGAAATAACAACCAGCAGCTACCCACATAGCTGGCTGGCTGCTACTACTTGTAGCCAGCAAGCTAGCCACATGTTCAAAACATTCTTGCACCGGGTTGGCGCTTTGGGTGTGTGTGTTGAGTGTTGTAGAGCTAGTTTTTTCGTAGCTGTTCCTAACTCTCACGAGTTAACATAGAAATTGCACATAGACCGGTATATGCCCACGCACAGAGAGTATGCAGTAGTTTCGGCGAAGTATTGGGCAGAAGCCAAACCAGGCTGGCATGTAAATTTGCATCTTGGAAGCATGTGTGTCCAGAAGTGCGAACTGGTGCACGTGAACACCGCATCACAAGTTAGAAAATTCTTCCCTTGCTTTCAGAAACACAGCCCAAGCAGTGAAGTTCAGCTGGATGCTGGATGTAAAGACGGATTTATCAAAGATGCCCGGGACATTGGCCGGAGGAAGAGTCGCTAGGAAGCACACTTCGAAGCGACGAACTTTACAAGTTATTCGTGTCATTGCATGGATTTCTGAACTGCATGGGCGCCCCTTCCAAGAAGCGCAGCAGCCTTGCTAGCTTTGCATCCCTGGGACTTACCTCGGACGATGCTTCATTTAAAGGCACTACCGGGGAAAGCCTTACTAAGCCGAGCTATTTGCATTGGCTTGCGAGGCGATTGCTGCTTGCAAACATGGTGGCGCATGGACAAGTGCAGTGCATATCCTGGCTCAGCTCCTTAGACTGATAAAACTTACTGCAATATGCTGCAAACATCAGTATACATCAGTCTGCTGAGCACGTCAGTGGAGCTTTCCTGCCAGTGCTGTGCCTCACGAGGCTAGCGAGCGAAGGTGTGGTGGCCAGCCGCTTGACGGCTCGTAATGAAACGTTGGGTCGGCCTGCTATCAGGGTCGTCGTTTGTTTGCTCTTTGTGTTTCGAGTCAGTTTTCGATCTTGCTTTGTTGCATTCCACGGTGCGATTGCAGTGGTGTCAGGCAGCGCATCGCACGCGGCAGCCATACGTGCATGTACGCAAACGCGGCATCACTGGAAATGGGCCATGGAGATGCTTCTCAGCATGAAGGCGCCCGAAGTCCGGCGCGAAAGAAAACTGTGCTTCGTGTCCACCTTGCCCGAAAATCTTGTTGATGTTGGCATCGCCAGGCCCGGAGCTTGCAGCACAACGGTATCGTGGTAAGCACTGCAACTGGGCATGCGATTTAATCAACCTGCAACATAACCTTTGAGCCCTCAAACCTGTCGGGCCTAGGGCTTGACAGCTTCAGCACGAGCAGAGTCGTGGCTCAGTGTGCTGGATCTGTTTACGAGGTTGGGTGGGACGCGCGGGATCGAACGGAAGGGCTTGGACAGCGAACCGTGCAGTCAGCGAGTCGAACTGTCCTGGCAACGGTCCCTAGTGCAGGCTTGGATGTCGGGGTAATTCCTGCCAGGATGGCACAAGAGAAGCTGGAGCAGGCTGCCTTTGGCTGTCGTGTTTCCTTGTTGCGATCTTGTCCATTTTTCCCATTCATGTGAGCTGAGTCTGAGATGAGTTATTGTGACAGAGCTTTCTTGCGAGAACCCATCGCAAGGTTCAGATCCATCTTGATCTCAATCTTGCATGCAAACTTGAGCTTAAGTGAATGACAGCGACTGTAATGTGAGCTCGTGACTAGTAATGGCCCCGGCAATTGAGCAAAACTCGGCCTGCACACAACCACACACTACCCCTCAATAGTCCTAAATTCCCGTCCCGCTTTACTGTTGGGGAATAGACACTGCTACTACAAACTGACGCCCCGGAAGAGGAGAGACAGAGACAGGCAAGATAGAGGAGACACAGAGAGGAGAGAGAACCAGCCAGCCAGACGTAAGGCTTAGGGTTTAGGGTTTAGGGGTTTAGCTACACGAATGGGAGTCCGCTCTTACCATGCTGTGGTTTCCTTGGGTCATACAGTTCTGTCTCAGCAGTGACGTACATGATATCTTCAGTGGGGTGTGCTCTCCTTTTCAGACTTTACTATGGCAGCAACATCG